GGGAAATTGTAACAGGAATTTTCATTATTTTCTGACATTTGACTGTATTGACTACACAAATAATCAAGCAAATGCTAAAAAAAATAAAGACTGGATGGATCAATACTGAAAGTATGTTTTAGCTGCAGCTCTTATTTGACAAATAAATGCTTAAATAAATAAACCTAATAAATTCATACCAATTCCTCAGGTGGTGATGCACCCCTCCAAGACTCTTGAGCTGCAGATGAAGAGGAAAGGTTTCCACATGGAGGTGGGTCAGTATGTCTTCATCCAGTGTCCGTCCGTTTCCAGGCTGGAGTGGCACCCCTTCACTCTGACCTCGGCCCCTGAGGAGGACTATTTCAGCGCCCACATCCGTATCGTGGGAGACTGGACTCAGGCGCTGTATGAGGCCTGCGGAGGAGACAAAAACGAACCTCAGGAGGCCTGGAAACTGCCTAGGTATGACAACATGGGAAGGGATTGTAAAAGGAGAAAAATTGCTCCTAAAATTGCTTATGATTACATTTGATTGCATCTTCTGCCTCCCAAGTAAAGCTCTTCTCTGAAAGCCTGGCAGCGGAAGTCTGGACAGGTTTGTTGTGTGCAACTCCCACCCTTTCAAAAGAGATTGGAAGGGCAGAGAAACTGATGAAATTATACAATATTACCTGCTCAGTACTTGGAGCATTTTTCTGCTCTACTCAGAGCAGACCATAAAAGAGCTTTTGAGGAAATTACATTCAAGGATACATATTGACTGTAATAAAATGCACACAGATACAGTAATATCCACGCTGGTGATCTGAGACTGGATTCTCTTTTATATGGTCTGATATACAGATCTGGAACCAGATCTATAAACCTGTTTACCACTGAATCTTTCCGGGTACAGGTCCTTTTTGTCCAGTGTGATTATATGTATATTCTATATATATAGAAAATGTTTGTGCTGTAGGTCACAGTGATATCTTTTGTCTCTTTCAGGCTGGCCATAGACGGCCCGTTTGGTACAGCCAGTGAAGACGTGTTTCGTTACGAGGTTGTGATGCTGGTGGGCGCGGGAATCGGCGTGACTCCTTTTGCCTCCATCCTCAAGTCTGTGTGGTACAAACGCATCCAGAACAACCAGGATGTCTTCACCAAGAAGGTGAGGGAGGTCACCCAACTCAAGTTCCACTTACTGGATTTTTCCAGAGCTTTCAACCACATCAAACACAACTATTATCTTTAATAGTTAATCTATTAATCTGAATGTCTCGCAAGCATTAAAGCTCATTCTTGAGTTTGGGAATGGTAGTAGTAGTCCACTTCAACTGTATCGTACGGTCTTCATCATAGTTGCAACCTAAGTAGCTGTTATGATTTCCATAGTACCGTTACAACTTCATTTTTGAAGTACCAGAAAAAGCTACTGTACTAAGTGGACCATTGTTAAAATACTATTTCCAAGTTCAAGAACTTTTATGCTTAAAAATGTTGGTGCTATGGATAAAATAATAACAATATTTATGTTCAAGTTACTCAAGAGAATAAAGTTGTGCATCGCTCTCCTCCCCAGATCTACTTCTATTGGCTGTGCCCGGAGACGCAGGCCTTTGAGTGGTTTGCGGACCTGCTGCAGTCTCTGGAGGGTCAGATGACGGAGAAGGGCATGACCGACTTCCTCAGTTACAACATCTACCTCACCCGCTGGAAGGAGACCGAGGTATGACGGGGTCACACGATGTCTTTATGGTCTTTTCCTTATGCCTCGCAGTGGTGGAAACATTTACTCAAGTACTCTATTTAAGTGCAATTTAACTTTACTTGAGTATGTCCATTTTATCATGCTTTTTTTACTCAGTTACTAGTTATTTTACAGATACAAATCTAACATAAAACTACTTATATATATGTTTAAAAATTGCTTTGGTTCCCAACTGTTTTGGCTTATGACCTCAGATAGGACACCCTGGTGCTGAGGACATTTTCTGACCTTTAGAAACCTGTATTTACCCATTTCTTATTGACAAACTAGTAAACATTTTTTAATATGAACCATGTGTCTTTTCTTTCATTAGGCGGCTCACTTCCGTGTTCACCATGAGGCGGAGAACGACCCAATCACTGGACTCAAACAGAAGACTCTTTATGGGAAACCTAACTGGGACAATGAGTTCACCAATATTGCGTCAAAGCACCCAGGGTGAGGCCCTTTATCTCACTGCATGCACACACGCACACATGCACACACACACACACACTTCATTTTTTATCTTTTAACAAGTACAGGACAAAATCAACATCAGGAACTGGAACAGTTTTCATGTCTGTAAGACTATTATACTAATACTACAACTACTATTACTACTACTTTTACTACTACTACTAGTATTATTACTTCTATGGTGGGTGGTGGTCTATGGATGTGGTCTGGCGAGCAGGTAGCGGGAACCTTTACTAGACTTTATCTCTTTTTATAAGTCAAAACTCACCTCTGATGTAATATTTAGAAATCAGAGGTCTAAATCGCTAATTTTACACACACTAGAATTATGCTTGAGTGTCTCTGTTGAGATGGAGAACCGCAGACCTAACCACCACTAATAATAATAATTACAGTCACATCCACTTGTGTTTTTGTTCCTTGTAGAACTAAAGCGGGAGTCTTCCTGTGCGGTCCAGAAGCGCTGGGGAAATCTCTGGAGAAACAGTGTCTGTCCCACTCAGAGGCCGACGTCAAGTTCATCTTCAACAAAGAGAACTTCTAAAAACCGCCGCAAAACAATAACGACAACCACAAAACCCCCAAGAGAGGAAGCATCCCAAGTAGCGGAGGGGGCAAGGAGTGAGCTGGTTTACTGAGGCCGGTGGTTCTGTATTAATACATCAGATAGTTTACACACAAATGTAATCTTTTGAATGTACCAAAATATACCAGGGTTCCCACGCATCCTGGGAAACCTGACTAGTTTTCCAGTCATGGAAACACCTGGAAATGTTTTATTGTATTTTAGCCCCTCACTCAGATCACCTGTGTAATCCTGGGCGTGTATTTTGTTTGAAACTCGACTGCAGCGACCTTTTTGGTGTCAAAAGTCTGTTTTTTCCAGAAGCTGTGAGAGAAATTCTCGAAGAAGCCCAATTTAAACGTTTGAACTCAACTACATAGAGAACTGTTTTATTTTAATGAGGAAATGTTACAGATTATAGCTTTAATGGTACTGTTAGAGGAAAAATGAAGTAAATTATTCCATTTGAGAGGAATAAAATGGGGGTGAAATGTATACTCGGCTTACTGGTAAATATATATATATATATATATATTTATATATAATAACTATAAATGATAGTTGCGGGCCTTTATCGTCAAGACAAGTACTGGAAAACATCCTGGAAAATGAAGATGATTAAAAAGAGCGGGACCCTGATTGAACTGACCTTCTTGTCTTCGCTTCGAACCGCATAAGTTTTGCAAAGATGCCGTTGTTGCTCAAAAGGAAGTGGAAATAACCCTACTGTATTTTCCACATCACCCTGTTCCGCTTTTCTGTTACATCAGCCAGTGAAACTCTGCTGGTTTCCTAACTTTTCCTTCTGTTTTTCTGTTTCATTTAGTTTTCTATTTGCCGGCCACAATTTCTGAAAAGCAGTTTTGATAGTAGATGCAGCAACAAACACCTCAGTGCTTCCTGCTCCAGGTGTATTTTTACCTCCTCTCTTATTCATTGAGCTTTAGTTGAAGGCCAGCATTTTTCTAAGACTTTGTTCAATGATAAGTGGTTTGTTTTTTGTGGTTCGGTTAGAACAATTATGAACCCACTCTTTATGAATCCTTACTGAGGCTTTTATATATAATAAGAGAATTTATCTTCCTTTCCATTTTTGTTCAGCTTTGTTGTTCGTCTTAGCTAGTAATGTTTCTATTCCTGTGAGCAATAAAACCTGAAAAATGACTTACATGTGTGCACATACTTTATATAATACATAATCTGATTCTAAAGTTTAGATCAAGTTATGGATTATGTTGCTAATTAAAAAAGTTGCCATTATAATTTCTATTCATTAAAGCTCAGGTAATTTTTAGAAAAATCTTTTTTTGTCATATTCGCAGAAACTTTCACTCTGTCCTCGCTGTAGAACATGAGACAGATGATGTGAAAGAATCAGGTTCCTCTGGCTCCTGTGTGAGCTCCTAATGGTGTTTGCAAGAATCCACCGGGCCGAATGGAAACAACCAATCAGAGGCGAGTTTTTTGATTTTTGATAGCCTTTATGAGGTGGACAGTCTCCATGCCAACTGAGCAACCACTGTGCACGATGAAATGTTTTCCAAGGTGATTGTTGTGTGAGGATGGCCATTAATACCTCAGCATGAGCTTACATTTCGTTTGTTGCGTAAAGAAAATTAAACTAAATGTGTCTGAAAAATCCCAAAATAATAGAAAATGCTGGAAAGCTGCAGTGAAATACACCACCTTATAAATATTGCCATATTTGTATTATACAGAGCAGAGGGAGGGAGGGATGGATGAAGAACTGTTTTCATCTCTTTCATTTTGCAAAATCTCTGGTTTTATTGCTGCTATAAAATATCCACCACTTTCTCAGCCAATCAGAATGTGGATTTCCTTTTATGGCAGCGGCACTTTAAAGCCATCGACGCTTTGTGACCCGTCCACTCTAGTCATCAGATTCTTTCTAAATCACACAGAAGAGAGAACTCCATAGAAATTTCATGTGATATATTATCAGTAAGAGCAGACATAAGGACTGGGTGTCCAGTTTAAGTTTCAGTGTGGGTTTTAAAACTCTTTATTCCCACTGAATCCCAATCTGTGACACAAACCTATTCTTCTGTGCACAAAAGCAGCTGAGAACCTTCAGCCGGAGCATTCAAGTGAACTTTAACATTTCTATTTCCACTGTATTCTTTTTCACAGTATTTTTAAAGAATAAAACTGACTTCCCAAGAGGACAAAGCCTCTATCTGAACTATTCATTATGCAGAAAACCTAAAAATAACTGATGCATTATTGTGTTCATCACTTTAATGTTGCAGCTGGTGAAAGTGGTGCACATTTTTATTACTTTATACACTGCCGGGTAGCTTTCCCTCAAGGGAGTCCTTTTCCATCATTTAGTAAACTGACTTACATATTTTATAGATGTTTCGTATTATATTTAAAACTGTACAATTATCCCGAACAGTGAAGTCCCTAACTGCAAGAAGTGTGTGTAAAAAGAATGATTTGGATGAATTTAGAGCAGATTATACAATTCTCTGTCTGTATTTTTATTAATTATTTGAACCAATCATACAGACTTAATAGGATTCTTTTTCGGCAAACAGTGTTTTCTTGGCCATTCTTCCATTACACAATTTACTTTTCTTCACAGATGTTAAGCTTTCTAGCACGTCTTAAAATCAAGAAGGCCTCGCAATGTTCATAAATCTCTTCACGTTTATTTACCTGCAGCTCCGAGTACAAAACCCCCGCTTTCTCTTGTTGGCGTGATACACATAATGAACATCAGAAAACAGAAGAAGAATCCCGTAGAATGTGTGACTGAATCAGCTGCTGCGTGCCGTCAGGCCTCAGTGAGTGAGAAATACGACATTATTAAAGCACTGCAGTGACACGAGAAGATAAATACATTAAGACGATGATGTGTACATGCATCTAAAGAGCGAAAACAAGAAGCCGTATTGTTTCCTGCAGCTTTTCCTCAGAGCTGAAAGCTTCCAGGGTGAGGACTCTGTGGCACTTGGTGGCCCCCTGCTGTTCACGGGACCCCACTGCACTCTTCGGATGGTGGTAGTGGTGGTCATCGATGTGCGTGTGTCCTATGCGATAGCCACCGCAAACACACTGACCACACAGTACATGGTGCGGTTTTCCCATCTCACTGTGCAGCTTCCTGCAGAGACAAAACAGCAGACAGTGAAGAGACAACGGTGGAACAAAAGAGAACAGAACAAACAAAGAGAGCTAAAGAAAGCAGAGTAAAACACTGGAGAACACAGAACAGCTGTCAGGGATAACGCCTACCGTCCATGGCGGTGTCCCAGTAGCAGGAGTTGGCTGTGTGGAGGCCCGCTCCCGTTTTCTGCATCACAGCACACGTCACTGTACGGAGGAAGTCAACACACAACTGCATCAGATCCAAAACTCACTCCCTTCCATCTGAAGTACAGACAGTCCGACGTTCACTCAGCCTCACTGCTCGAACATACCGATGTACTTGTACGGTTTCCCCTGTTTGACCAGCTGCGTGAGGCAGCGCTCCACGATGCTGGCCGTCCATTTGTTCACCTGACTCTGGCTGTAGTCGTCTCCCCCGACAACGCTCTCGATACACTGACACACACACACACACACACACACACACACTCAGTGTTCAGTCATGTGGAAGTCACTGGGTGCTGTTTCCCCCCGAGGAGGCTGACATTTCACAGGATTTCGGTTCTTCAGAAACGTTTTGTTTTATATTTTTGTTACATAAATGTGTGTTTTTATTCAGAAGGTACATTCAGATCATGAATGCTTCCAGAGCACTTTAACACTTAAAGATGTCTAAAAGTCCATTTAACTGCTGTTTTTAAATCCTAACTCACACAAACACACTTTTATATCATGTTTTTGTTTTCATATTGTTATTTTCTTGTCATTATATTTGTTGTTGATGTTTCCTATTATCAGTTTGTTATTACTTTATGTAGTTATAATATTCTT